ACTCCCACCGCAGAATGCAGCAGAACTACCTGCCCTGGGAAAGGCAACTGATTAATTAAACTTCCCACTCTGCTGATATCAAAACAGGAACTTGCCGAGAATAACGGCTAAAAACAAATAGCATTTATTTTGCTTTTTTAAACCACATAATAAAAGTGAATACAAGAACACAATTTTTAAAAAAGTTGAGGTGCAATCCTTGATAATTATTCACATAAATCTTAGTGGTCTAAGCATTTTTTAAAAATTCACCTGATAAGATTTCTTAAACAGGTAAAGAAGTGATGTCTGAAGAACAAGCTTTAGTTAATTTAAAAGAACAGATTGCCAGTAGGAATTATTTGGGAAATGCTGCACTAATATGCATTTGGATAGGATTTCAAAGAGGTTTATTCCTTCTAGCAATTTAGCATTCATCTGACTGAGAAATGTCACAATAAGCTGGCTTGTTTTTTATTATTTATTAATGGATGCATTTAAATTCTTTTTTTTCTCTGGGAGCTCAGAGTGGCATATATATCAAAGCAGAGATGCTTCTTTCGTCTTATCTTCACAATTTCTGAAGATGAGAGTGAGTTGGTTCCATCACCTGCTCACTCATTTTAATCCAATTTTCTGCCCTTTCATGAAATAGTAAATCAACAGAGCCTCGTTCACACACTACACTAGACTAAAACGGACCTGGGTAATAGTGGCAAGGTGTGTTTGTGTGAACATCATCCTAATAACTGGCCTGTTATTCAGTCAAGCCTTTGGGCTTATTACAGTGGTGAGATTCAATTTTTTTTACTACTTCTGTGGGCGTGGCTTGATGGGCATGGCAGGGGAAGAATACTGCAAAATCCCCATTTCTTCCCAATCAGCTGGGACTCAGGAAGCAGAGAATAGATGGGGGTGGAACCAGTTGAGTAGTTCAGAGAAGCAGTATTTCTACTCAAAATTTCTGCTACCGGTTCTCCAGTCAGAACCTGCTGAATACCATCTCTGGCTTGTTACTCTGATTCTTCCTTGTCCCAATTCATCACATCAGCTCTATAATTCTTGAAAAGAACCGTATTGTGGAAACTACAGCATAGTTAAGTCCTTGACTTACAACCACAACTGGAACCAGAATTTCTTTTACTCAGCATTGTAATGTTTGTTAAGTTTGTAATGGTTGTTAAGTGAGTCATGCCCAATTTTATGACCTTTTTTGCTATAGTTGTTAAACGAAACACTGTACAGGTAATCCGTGACTTACGACCACAATTGAGCCCAGAATTTATACTGCTAAGTGAGAAATTTGCTAAGTGAGTTTTGCCTTATTTTACGACTTTTCTTGCCACGTTAGTTAAGTGAATCATTGCAGCTGTTAAATTAGGAACATGGTTAATTGAAGCTGAGTTCCCCATTGACTTTGCTCGTCAGAAGATCACAAAAGGGGATCACATGACCCCTGGACACTGTAACCATCATAAATATGAACCAATTGCCAAGGATCTGAATGTAAACCACATAACCATGGGAATGCAACCACAGTAAGTGTGAAAAATCATGTCACTTTTTTCAGTGCTATTGTGACTTTGAATGTCCACTAAGGGAATTATGAGCCGAGGACCAGCTGTAATTGTTAAGTGGCTCATACAGTCATTAAGCTAGTGGTTCTCAATCTTCCCAATGCCGCGACTCTTTAATACAGTTCCTCATGTTGTGGTGACCCCCAACCATAAAATTGGTGTCTCGATTCACAACTATGTGTTTTCCGATGGTCTTAGGCGACCCCTGTAAAAGGATCGTTCAACCCCCAGGTTGAGAACCACTGCATTAAGCGAATCTGGCTTCCCGCATTGACTTTGCTTGTCGGAAGCCAGCTGGGAAGGTTACAAATGGCAACCATGTGATCCCATGTGATCCTGCAACTGTTGTAAACACATGCCGGTTTCCAAGCGCCGGAGCTTTGATCGGGTGACCGAAGGGGTGGCGTGAGTGGTGTACACAAGTGAGGATTGGTCATAAGCCACTTTTTTTCAGTGCCACCGTAACTTTGAATGGCAAATCAAGGACTACTTGTGATGGTAATTGAGATGGATGTCAGTGGATTCTTAAGTGCTGGTGTTCACTTGCTAAGTTGTGATCGACTCTTCGGGACCCCATGGACCCATGATGGCGAACCTATGGCACGCATATCAGAGGTGGCATGCAACACCCTCTCTGATGGCATGCAAACCATCGCCCCAGTTCAGCTCCTATGCACATATGCAGGTGCCATCCTCCAGCCATCGGGTCTCTGGGGGCAGGGTGTGTTCATGGAGGTCACACACACATGCAGGGGGTCGCGCATGTGCGGTGGTCGCACATGTATGCATGGGGGGTTGCAGCATGTATAGGGGGGTCACAAGTGCATGTGCGGGGGGCAGAGTACATGCCCAGGGGGCACACTGCATTTTGGGGGCTCGGGCACACTTGTGCTTTTGGCTACTCGGCCTGGAAAAGGTTAGCTATCGCTGCCATTGACCATTGCACACCAGGCCCCTCCTGTCCTCCACTGTCTTCCAGAGTTTGGCCAAAGCCCTGCGAGATGTTCAGGTCCTCGGGCCATCAGCGTGACATTTTAAGCACTTGGAACCCCATCTCTCCATAGCGGAAGCTGCCCCGTGTCTTGGTGACCTGACCTTAGCAGCTGAGGGGACAAACCTTGGCAGCCAGCCTCTCCACCACCAGCCCAACCCATTGGATCAGGCAGCTCTCCACGACCATGCTCTGTATTGCATCCCTGGGGAAGCAGCAGCTCTGAAGAACCTGGTGAGGAAGCTGCAGGACACTTTGTCCCACCAGAGCGAGCTCCTCTTCAGCCTGCAGAAAACTGTAGAGGACCAGGAACTCCAGTATCATGAACTTCAGGTAAGGGGTAGCCATGTATAAGTTGGTGCATGTGATGCCCATGGAGATCCAGGTTGTGCTTTTCCAAAAAGCTACTGGACTTTCTCCTTTTTCTTAGACGACATTTCATTTCTCATCCAAGAGGCTTCTTTCACTCTGATTGGATGCTGGGGAATGGAAGGATCTAATATTCCTTGCAGACAGCTGGTCATTTGCATTCTTCCGGAGAGTCATTTTTTTTTTTTATTAAATGTTTTTTNTTATTCCCGCGCTTGTATTTCCCGCGCTAGTATTCAACAGATAGTCCTCAGCTTACTACCCACAATTTTGATTGTAAATCATGATGGCCGTAAAACAGATCATCACGTGATTCTACAACCTATTTTGCAGCTGTTTTTTAAGTGAATGCAGCAATTGTAAACACCATGGCTGTTAAGCAAATGCGAGAGTTGTTAAGCAAAGCCACTGTTCGCTATGGGCTGTTTTTGCCAGAAACCGGAAGTAAACACCAGTTTTCAGGAAAAAAAATGTGAATTGCAGTCACATGAACATGGGATGCTGCAAACTGCTGTAAACATGGGTCAGTTTCATGCAACCAAATTGCAGTCACAGGTAGAGGCCTGGACATCAGAACTTTGCATCTGGGTTGTAAGTCTCCATTTCACGATCCATCATACTTTAACTGGTCATAGATCGAGCTCTGCTGTAGATCTGGACTGCACAAATCCAGATTTCCACTAGATAACATCTCACAAATACATACCTCTTTAGAGTTTTACAGCACTGAGCTTGTAGCTTTATAGAATCCATTCAATCATAACTACTGAATTTTGGCATCATTTTCTGCCGTTCTAAGGTTGTCTCACCATTATTATCAAAATTAAACTCTTTTTCTTCCCCACTAAACCCTCCTAGCCCCACTTACATGTGCAACCTTGCACTATTAACACCTCTGCACCCACTGTAGTCTTCGTTCCTCCCAAAAGATTAGGTGTGCCCCCCCAGCCTACAAATGTTTATCTGATCTTGATTTTATGACTACTTAATTTCTTCTGAATCACACCCAATATTTTCCCCACCCATTTTTCATCTGATAACTAACCAGATAGAAAGCAAGATACAAGTTTTAAATCTGTACAAAATGGAGGCTTGTTTACTATGGAACATTGAGTTCCAGCAAAGGAATAACTTTCCTGCAACTTTTAAAATTTGCCTTTGCAATTGTCTTTGATCCATTCACAACTTAGTTGAGACCAAGGTTTCCTGTCCCATCAGATTTAAAACTATCACAAAAATTACTGTTCTTGGAGTGGTTGATTCAGTCTCTTTTAGAGTTACTGTAATTTTCCATCGAAATGCTTCCTGAGAAATTTAGAGAAATCAATTTAGAGAAATGCAGATAAATGGAGAGAAAAAAGAAAATAGAATTCTAAAAATATGTAAGGACAGATTAGAATCCCTCTCTCTTTTTCCAGATTTTCCTGCTTGATTCAAGTCCGAGATAGTTTTCATCTCAACCAACACCTATTACACCCCCCCTTATAATACTCATTCTATCCATCAGTTCCAGCTGTGAAACTGTCGTGTATTTGAATACATGTTTAAGATAATGATCTCATTTAAAAAAAAACAACTCTTACCTTTAATTTGGTTCAAAAGTCATAATGGACATCCCTCTTTCACATCATATTTCCATGCTGTCTCTGTTCTTGATGATTTCCAGCTGCTAAAGCAAATTAGACGATTGGACTGTATATACATTCAAACAGTGCCCCCAAATCACTTTACTCTCTTACAGAATGAAATTTCTTATCCCTTCAGCCCTCTGCTTAGTCCTAGGGTCATTCCCCGGGCCAAAGAAAAATAAATGGAAACAAACCCAACACTGAAAGTGGCAACATTCAGAAATCAGCAAGGAATGTTTCCATCTCCAAGGTCACCCAGTTGCAAGAAATGAAAGCTACCATTCTTTAACAAAGAACTTAAAAAAGGAGATGCTAAAGTAAAATTGAAGAACCAGAATTTGTATGATTCAATTCTCTCAGACCGCAACCAACTCGCGTACTAGGCCACACCTGTCCGTAAGGTGAGAAAACCTGATCTTGCTGATAATAATTTGGAAAAAAGTTGGGGAAAGCTTTGTGAGATAAAAATCTTATTGTCTACTAATCCTACTGATTTCCTTAGTGTTAGCTAACATTCAAAAATACTGTGTGTACAAATTTTTGATGAAATGGGGGGGAGGGGTTATGGTAGATTTTTTTTGTTTTTCTGAATCAGTACATGCAGCAACTAAGTCTCAAGAGTGTCCTATTTTGTAGAGCTCCCCTTTTAAAATTGTTCCTGGATTTAGTTTAACAGAACTAATTCTGGGCACTGAATTATCCAAAGGAAAACATTGTCTGAACATGGATTTGATGACCAATGAGGCTTGTAACTCACTGGGACTTGATTCCCCATCCCCACATGCTACCTTATCTTTCCTTTCCAGCAATAACTTTTGGAGAGATGAATTAAGAGCATCTTTCCTCTTTATTACTAGGAACCAAACTTCTACACAGACATGAGTGTAGAAGGTTGGATCACAGACAACCTCCTTCTATATGTAGCATTAGTTTGCTTAATCAAGTTCCTTTAAAGGTTTTGCTGAACATGTTGTTGGAAGAAATGTCCATCTGGGTTCAGTTCCAAGTGCGGAGAAAGACACTGGAAACATGGAAGCTGTTTGGAAAGATGGTTTAATTAATGGTGGACCAGTATGGTTTGAGGCCCTGGCCAATCAACCACATGGGAGGAGGAGAGAGAGAGCTCTCTTGAGCTTTGAACTTGCTTCCTGTTCCTGTGTAAGAAATGTATTCTGATTGGTGGTCAGACTCCCATGCAGGGATAACTTTGTAGGTTGTCGTAAGTCCCAGTCTTGGTTGAATCTTGCTGGGTGATGTAATTCCTATTATGGGAATTCCTATTATGACTTAATGGCTTTTTCCTGGTTTGGATCTTGAGTGAGGGCTAATCCTATTACTCTGGAGATGAAGGTCTTTTGTCTTACAAATAAACTGGTACCAAAATATCTGCTGGGGCTCAGCTTCTGTTCCTTAAGATTTCTATTTCTCTTTTAAGGGAAATATTCTCCCTTTTTAATATTTCCTAGAATATTCATTCTTCTAGGAGAGGGATGGGTGCTAACTTTCTACAATGTGAAGGGAGAAGTACAAATATGGGGTATCAATACTGTCTTTTTTCATCTTCACATTTCACTAGCAGGGTCCTCAGCTTGATGCTTTCCAGATATCAACATCAACAACACCCACAATCCTCAGAACAGGCTAAGGGAAATTTAGGGGTACCAGATATACAACAAAAGGAAGACATGCCTTCCTGTTTGTCCTCATATCCCAGGACTGACAAGCATGGCATTAAAATCAAATATTGTTCAGCTTTATTATAACCTTGTATATTGTCTGCTTCTCTCTTTCCCTCAACTGTCAATAGGCTTGGAAATCTAGATTTACATAATGTAATTTATATCCTGATTTCAGCTATCAGCTTTATTCCATCCTCTTCAAATTTACATCACTCTTGTCTATAGATCACATGACTCATACTTTTCTAAAATGTCAATTATATATTATTGCTAGCATATATTCTTGAAACTAAAGACATATTGGAAAAATATTGTAATTGAAAAAACCATCTTTTTGCTGCTGGAAAAAAAATTATATACACGTACGCCTAAGGTTTTGTTGTTGTTTTGCAATTTTCACTGTCATTTTTGTTGCAGAGCCCAAGAAAAAGTGTGTTCTTTTCCCAATTTGTCCTCTTATCTAATTGTCTATGTCCTCCTTTGTTTCATATATATATATATATATAGTAACGATGTCGGTCCTTTCTGGTAAAATATTGGAAGAAAAGTAAAATCGCTAACTCTAAAACGCGTTTTTATCAACGACTCTCTTCCAGAACCTCGCTGAAGGAAAAGTATTTATATGCAGCAACTAGGGCCCAACTTCTGGCGGAACGCCTACCACTTTCCTTCGGTTTCAATGCTTTCAAGCGCAATCCCCCATCTTGGTTGTGGGAACCTCGACTGCGACCCGCTCCAACTTTAACCGTGCCACTAAAAGAGATAGGGCAGTTTCACGTCTATCGCCATTTTGGATCGGAAACGAGGTTGCGGGAGCCAATGGAGAGCAGCAGCAGCGGCTGCAGCCGTATTTTCTCGCAGGTATTTGTTGGCAAGAGCGCGTGGTGTCCTAGCATGGTTTAGGCATGCAGTTTCATATTTGCCTTTCTGTTGCATTAATGATAAGAAGGCCTTCCTGATGCATTAACTATAATTCCCATGATTCTCAGCCAGTTACTGGAGTCGTAGTTCAGCCACAGATTAGGGAACGCCGGTTGACCCTGGTAACCTTGCAAACTTGCTTCCGTTTGTGTTCGGTTTATAACCCGCCTTAAAGCAACTCCTCGGGACATGAGGTCGGTTAAGCAATTGTAAAGAAATCTTTGCAGAAATTTGTGACTCTAAAAAAAAACAACCACCAATGCATTTATTACCATGCAAGTCCTCTTCATCAGAGGCGTGACATCTTGAGACGAGAGAAAGAGAGAGGGAGAGAGGTGTATATTAAACACCTTGGTCTGTGGTGGGAGGTGGGAATAGGAAATAAAATGGAGCACATGCCGACTGTGATAATTGACAGTAGCCATTCATAAAAATCAAAGTTATCTTGAGCATTAGACCACTTTTGCCACCTGAAAGATTAGTGCTATCTAATTTTTAATTCATATCCAAATCCCCCAGGCTCCCTTGGGTGCACCATGCAACTGTGACGCACACTCTGGGCCAGAGATAAAGGTATCTGCTAGATCCTCTCCGCCTAGAAGGAAGAAGAAAAAGCTGAGCTGTGAGCTTCAGGATGGCTTTGGTATCTCCTCTGATCTTTTTGCACAGATATGCAAGAAATAATAAGCAGGAGCAGTGCTTCTCAGGCTTGGTAACTTGAACTTGAACTGTGGAC